TTTCACGTCAAACGGTAACTTGAAATATGAGTATGCAAAGCACTTTGAATTTGTGACTTATTGAGTAACCGGGTGCTTTCATCACAAATGTTAGTGTTCGTGTCAAAAGATGAATGATAGCTCAAGGAAGATTGTGATGTATGGCTGAAAAAAAAAAAAAGAAAAAAAGAGAAGAAAAAAAGGGGGTAATTACATGGTATGGTTGTTACATGTTTCAATTATGCTTACTACAACTTTGCATGGATTTATTTAAAGATATTCATGAATATGAAGGTGATAGTCATCAACTCCCTTGCTTGGTATTATTGAAATTTGAACTAAAAATTGAGTTAAAGGTTGATGCTCCTTGTGTTATGTGTGTGGGGAAGAATGTACATGAGCTTTGTTTTTAGCTTTCTTTTGCTTGAGGACAAGCAAGAATTTAAGTTTGGGGGTATTTGATGAGTTTAACTTTTATATGCATTTATCTACCATTTTTGAGCTTAGAATTAAATTTTATGGGTCCTTTGTAACTTAGTTTCACCTTTGTTTATATTAAATTTATTATTTGTAGGTGGAAATTAAGATAGGAATTAATTTTGTAATAAGTGACAATTTGCACATACTGCAGTAATTTAACCATATCTTTTTCTCTAGGTATCGGATTGAGTTGATTCTTCAGGCGTTGGAAAGATAAGAAGCAGAGCTACAATTGATGTTTTATGAACTCAACCCAGTTCCTTCTGTATCAATACAGAATTCAAGTTGAAGTGGACGGTTTTGACAATGGATGGAGTGCAGAAATAAAGAGACTTGGGCTGTGTTTTCTAGGTGTGGGCCAACTGCAGTCCAGACCCAAAATAGAGCCCATAACCCATGTCTGCTAGGGTTAAAAGAAATAAGGGTTTCTAATTTCTAAATATATATATATATATATATGCTACTCGGCAGAATTGAAGAGGAGACAGCCGCACGAGATTGCTTTGCACATTGGAGGAAAAGCTGCCGCCCAGCCTAATCGGAGGGACCCGAATCCAATCTGCACAAGAGGACCCTGAAATCTGTTCAACACCGCCCAGCCTCTGTTCAACACCACCCAGTCTTGCTTCTTCTCCGCCAGCCTTGCTTCCGGACAACAGCACACCATTCGGCAAACTGCAATTCTCCATTGTTTGGGTTTTGTTGTTTCTGATTTTTTACTATGAATTTCTGCTGGGATTTATTTTTCATGGCTGTTGAGAACATAAACATGTGTGGCTAGATTTCTTTGAACTAGGGATGGGTGGATTTTAATTTTTGAAGTATGTGACTGGTTTAATTCAAGATTTATTAGTTATTTGCATGATGAGTTTATATTATTGAACTTAATGCATTGAAAGCCCGATCACCTTTTAATTGATTTAGTGATTTATGCATGAACTTGAGAAAGAATTGTGTAAATTAGACCAATAATAATATAAACCGTGTGTTAGACTATGAGATCGAGAGGTAATTAGCTCACATGTGGTAGTGGAGGAAGAGAAGAGACTTAGTAGCTCCCCATTCTTAAATTAGAGGTTTCCATAGAATTTAATGTTCATTAGTTTGTTTAAAATTACATAGAGATATGATTAATTTAGCAAACAAATGAAGGATTAACTTGACTTGATAAAGCTGGTTAATTAATTTAGGAAAATCCGCCATCTCATGCAATAACACTATTATTTGAACTTGAATTAAATTAATGAAACAGTTGCATAATTCAGAATTAAATGAAATCCAAACCCTAGTTCCTTCTTATTCATAGTTTCTTTAATTTAGAAAATTCTTTAGTTTAATTTCCTTAGTTTACTTAGTTTTCTTTTAAATAGTTTAGTTTTCCCCATTAATTGGTTAATTCAACTTAGGTTAGATTAATAGTGTCTTGGTAGTGTAGGATAGTCCTTGAGAGGGTAAGATCTTAGGATTTATCAAGTCAAGTTCTTCTCTTATACCTAGACCTATTCCATAGAAATGGGAGCATGATTTTGTTGTAAAATGTATGTTTGTTTCAATTGGTTTATCTTTAACAGGATTAGTTTTTATATTGTGTTATAGTTAGTAACCTATATTTTTTTTTTATCTTGATTGCACAATGGGAAGCAATTATTTCCTATCTTTTATCCCACCCCACCCGAATACCATCCAACTCGAACTCAGGACCTCTTATTTCTAATGGAAGGAGATGACTATTGAACTACTTAGGTCGTTGATAGTAAGTAACAGTTATTATTTTGCTATTTTATGTAATTTAGTGTAATTAAAATTCTATTTTATTAAATATT